GAATTTTCCCTGAATAAATATTGAATTTTCCCTAAAAAAAAAATGAATTTTCCCTGATTAAATACTGAATTTTCCCTTAATAAATATTGAATTTTCCCTCAATAAATATTGAATTTTCCCTCAATAAATTTTTCCTTCAATTTCACTGATTTCCTTTAATAAATACTGAATTTTCCCTTGAAAAGCCCTTGAATTTTAATTTAATTTTCCCCCAATAAATATTGAATTTTCCCTTACAATGAATATTGAATTTTCCTTTAATAAATATTGAATTTTCCCTTACAATAAATATTGAATTTTCCCTGAATACATATTGAATTTTCCCTTACAATAAATATTGAATTTTCCCTGAATAAATATTGAATTTTCCCTTGCAATAAATATTGAATTTTCCCTGAATAAATATTGAATTTTCCCTTACAATAAATATTGAATTTTCCCTTAATAAATATTGAATTTTCCCTTACAATAAATATTGAATTTTCCCTGAATAAATATTGAATTTTCCCTTACAATAAATATTGAATTTTCCCTTAATAAATATTGAATTTTCCCTTACAATAAATATTGAATTTTCCCTTAATAAATATTGAATTTTCCCTTACAATAAATATTGAATTTTCCCTGAATAAATATTGAATTTTCCCTTACAATAAATATTGAATTTCCCTCAATAAATATTGAATTTTCCCTCAATAAATATTGAATTTTCCCTAAGAGTTGATGTCATTCAGAATGTATCATGAATCGTGTGATTATAATCCAAGCTAGAAGACGTTGATCTGTGTCTGGTCAGAGATCAGCAATAAACAACACTAAACAAAGAAGCTAAGAGCTATAAACTAGGCCAAGCTAGGACTAAATATATCTAAAGCTCTCTTAACCACAGACAACAATAAAATACAATATCTTAAGCTCTCTCTTCAGTCAAAGGTCAAGCGGGATCAAGAGCAATCATTTATCACTGCTGTAGATTTCGTCTGACCAAAGTTGGGGGTGGTCATCAAAGTTTGTTTTCATTATGACCATGGACATTATGGTGGTTCTTAGAAGGGGTGTTAGATTTGGTCCAAGGAAAGCCAAACTTATATACCAAAAAATGATAGAAGTATAACTTATAAAATTAAGTTAAATTGGCTGGTTATTTAAGACGGACTGTAGCACAGTTGGTTAGGGTATTGAAATGGTAGGTTCTAATCTTGGTTGGCATGTAAAAGTTATCTTTCCTCATTATTCCAGTCAAACCAGCTGTAAATGGGTACAAAATAAGTCATCTTTCCTCATTATTCCAGTCAACCCAGCTGTAAATGGGCACATATAATCCAGGAACGATCAATGCCAAGAGGTTTGGTCAAGGACCAGCTGGTAGACAGGATCCTCATTATTCCAGTCGACCCAGCTGTAAATGGGTACAGATAATCCAGTAAAGATCACTGCCAAGAGGTTTGGTCAAGGACCAGCTGGTAGAAAGGATCCTCATTATTCCAGTCGACCCAGCTGTAAATGGGTACAGATAATCCAGGAAAGATCAATGCCAAGAGGTTTAGTCAAGGACCAGCTGGTAGAAAGGATCCTCTTGAACCAAAGTTGTTATCCCTGTAAGATCAATGCCTAGAGATTCAACATTACACCAGCTGGTAAAAAGGATCCTTGTAAAATTTGAAATTTAGACGGCTAGATACCTTTGAAGGAGTAGTTGAAAAGTCTGAGAGAGAAATAATGTTTGGTGCAGCCTTCAACTAAAATGAACCACCATAACTAAATATTTCTTCCTCAAATCATAACAAAGACTTCAAAGGCTGCCATTAAGAGGAACTACTTTGCCTGCGATTCTGTTACTGATATGTTGAAGGAATGGTAAGTTTGATAGATATTGAGTATTTAAAGGGAGCGGTTAAAGGGACAGGTGCACCATTTTTTGGACCAATCATACTTTAGTCTAAGAAACAGGAAATTTTTAGTTAAGTTAATCAGTAATAGTGTTCACAGCTCACTGTCGAAATTTGAGCCTTCAAATCCATGTGTGTCTAGAATTATCTGTGTTTGAAAGTTAATATGATGACTCGTCTTTTCTTGAGACACTGTCATATATAGAAAAGACATCTATAGAAATAGTGAGTAAAATTCCTAGTTTGAGATATTTTTAAAGGAATTATGTGATTTTTGTACATTTCTAGTACTTCTGAAGACTATTTACATATATTCAAGACTCAAATCAACCCCCCAAAAATGACGCACCAGTCCCTTTGAATTTAAGAAAGCTTTTGAAAATTTTGAAATCAGTAAATCGAGTCATGATATTTGATGAATCAAACAAGGCCCTGACCTTGACCCTAAGCTTTCAGCTGATAGTGAATTGCGGCCATGTGGTTTCTGTACACTTTTAATAGGTTTGGAGAAATCGGAGGTAGTTTGTTTCATGTTATTTTTGATATCGGCTAATTATTTTGGTATACTGGTATACCTTACTAATCTTTGCCATTAAGAGAATTGAATTACAAATCAACGCCATTATCCTGGTGAAATTTCGTTGGTGCTCTTAAGGCATTGGCCTTCCAAAATTTAACTGTCCTGATGAAGATTGTTTATCAGAAACATGATGAATGGAGCTTTAGTCAATTGAACCAAAATCTCCTTGTGTAGTTCTTTTTGCTACAGGCTGTACGTGTTAAAGATGGGATTCCTTATTTTTTAGTGTCAAATTTAGCAAACTATTTGATTAATTGGTGTTTCTAATGAATTATCATGTATTCCTAATCATATCATTATGTTCTTATTGCATATAATTAAGAGTTTTAACCAATCATAAATGACCATGTATGTACAGTCTGGATAAACAAAAAAAAGACTTTTTGACCTTTCTTGATCGGTCACTCATTGGAATTCTGCTGGTAATTCTCTTCTAGCTAATTATGAATTAATTATGGACATGTGAGACAAACTGGTATTTTTCCAAGTCATTAGAACACCTCTACTTTCTATTCATATAAGTATTAGCATTTCCATTTTCATAAATAAAAATAAGGGAACCCATCTTTAAGTAATAAACGAAAACATGATTTGTGAAAGTGTCTCTTTAAGGTGTTAGTAATTGCCACCCTATTGAAAGTGGTAGTAAAGTAATTTAAAGTGAGGAGTGATGGAAAACAGAACTTAGATAGATCAACACTACCCTCTCTATCTTTCTTATAGTTACTTATCTTCTTTTACCAGAATTCAAATCAAATGGCGTTTTAAATCTTAAAGGGATTGTAAAGAGGTTTTCTAAATTTTTTATGTGTATCAGGGACACTGATAGCATCAATTTGCATCATTCTAATTTTCAATCAGACGTCTGTGGTTCCTGCAATTCCACTAAAACTAAGTGTTTGATGACGTCACTAATCGCAAAATATCCTTGTATCATATATGGTTGAAAGGATCTTTCTGTAAATGGGCACAGATAATCTGGGAAAGATCAATGCCAAGAGGTTTGGAAAAAGGGATCAGCTGGTAGAAAGGATTCTCATAATTCCAGTCAACCCCGCTGTAAATGGATACAGATAATCTGGGAAAGATCAATGCCAAGAGGTTTGATCAAGGACCAGCTGGTAGAAAGGATCCTCATTATTCCAGTCAACCCAGCTGTAAATGGGTACAGATAATCTGGGAAAGATTAATGCCAAGAGGTTTGATCAAGGACCAACTGGTAGAAAGGATCCTCATTATTCCAGTCAACCCAGCTGTAAATGGGTACAGATAATCTGGGAAAGATCAATGCCAAAAGGTTTTGATCAAGGACCAGCTGGTAGAAAGGATCCTCATTATTCCAGTCAACCCAGCTGTAAATGGGTACAGATAATCTGGGAAAGATCAATGCCAAGAGGTTTGGTCAAGGACCAGCTGGTAGAAAGGATCCTCATTATTCCAGTCAACCCAGCTGTAAATGGGTACAGATAATCTGGGAAAGATCAATGCCAAGAGGTTTGATCAAAGACCAGCTGGTAGAAAGGATCTTTAACTGTGAACCTAAGTTATTATCCTTGTAAAATATAGTTGTTTCTTTCTTTCTAATTAGCCTAGATAATTAACGAACAAAATTAAACAAAGAAAAATAAAACCAATGTTTCTTAATCAGTTTTAAAATGTAGGAACATCTCTTTTGACATACGGCCAACTTCTGAGAAGCTGTTATTTGAAGCTAAGTGGCTTATATTGTACATAATATATGAGTCAGGAACTAGTACACATAGAAAAAAATGTACCAGCAAAACAATTCTGTTAATCTAAATCTCATCCAAATCATGACAAAATCAGGAGTAAAAGTTGTATAGGTGGACTCCTCCAAAGAGAAGTATCATCAGGTGTTTTGAAAAGAGTAAGCAAGACAATTCTGTTTATCAAAAATCCCCTCCGAAGTATGGCAAAATCACAAGTAAAAGTTGTATAGTGGTGGACTCCTCCAAAGAGAAGTACCATCAGGATCTGTTTAATGATGTTATGTTTTGTCCATTTCAGTCTTTCCAAACCTGCATCAATATGGTACAAGACACCACCAGATATCTGAAAGCATCTCCAAGAGGTAAGCATAAATTAACCACCATCAAAAACCCATTGAAAATCCTTCAATATGCAAAAACTATTCCAAATCTCGATAAAAATCCTTCAAATCTACTACCCACTTGTTAAAAACATTACGAAAACATCTGAATGAACTCCATCTTTGTGAAAAACATCCGAATGAAATTCAAAATGATCGAAATCAAACCCAAGAATCAAACAAGCCAATCCTATTCAAATAACTACTCTCTGATATCTATCTGATATCTATCAACTATTTTTAATAACATTTCTCAAATATATACCACCATTAAACCTGTACTTAAACCTAGCTTTAAGGGATATGTTTTGTGTACACATCTTGTAAACACATCTTGTAAACACACGTATGATTTATGCAATTTATATTCAAAGTGCCTTTCCCAACATTTGTGTTTACACCTTGTATATATCCCTATGTGTATTATTTGTACATCCCATCTGTATTATTTGTTCATCCCATTTGTATTATTTGTACATCCCATCTGTATTATTTGTTCATCCCATTTGTATTATTTGTACATCCCATCTGTATTATTTGTACATCCCATTTGTATTATTTGTACATCCCATCTGTATCATTTGTTCATCCCATATGTATTATTTGTACATCCCATTTGTATTACTTGTACATCCCATTTGTATCCCTAGCCCATCCCATGTGTATTCCTTGCAAATCCCATGTGTATCTCTTCCACATCCCATGTGTATCTCTTCCATTCCCATGTGTATCCTCTTCAATCCCCATGTGTGTCCCTGTTCCATCCCACATGTATCTCTAATCCATCTAGCATGTATCCCTCTTCAATCCCCATGTGTGTCCCCTGCACATGCATCCCTCTTCCATCCCACATGTATCTGTAATCCATCTAGCATGTATCCCTCTTCCCTGTACATGTGTGTCCCTGCACATGCGTCCCTCTTCCATCCCACATGCATCCCTCTTCCATCCCACATGCATCCTTAGGCTATCCCACTCCCACACCAAAAAGGCTACACTAAAAAAACGTAAAGAACACTACAAATTATCTTTATCTGAAAGTGAATCAAATTTATGTCTCTAAATATTTACAAGTAAGTGACATTAATTTATAGCCTTCGTCATATTTGACAAATTTCCAACTTTCCCACCAAAATGTTGGAATTCAGAATTCTTAAACCTTTTCTTCAGAAATCTTAGACTATCAGTCTCAAGAAAAAGCCTCCATTCATATATTTTGGTAATTTATAGCAAGTTACATAAACTTTGATGCTCGATAAGATGATTTAAATAAAGAAGCCAACTTACAGGATGTAAAGAAAAAAAAAATTTATCAATCCTGTGGAAAATGTTTGGATTTATTGGAACAAGCATGCTTGTGTTCTATGAGAATTTATTGCAATTGGTGAAAGGAGGATAAGTTGAAAGGAAAGTTTAGTAGAGAGAGCAGTAAGCCATCCTAGAGGGTTTAAAGGTGCTTAATTTTTATGCTTATGATTTTTAGGGAGGATGGGAAAATCAATTTGTAAAAGATTTCCTTTTTTAAGTCCATTTTCTCGTAAAATTGGTTGCAGAATTCACGAACGAGAACCTTTTCAGTTTTCTGATACACTAGAAGCCAAAAATAACCCAAAATGAGGAAATACACGAAAATTTATCGTAGAACACGGAAATTCAGACGGGAAAATGAGTCAACAGATAGGAAACAGAGTAGTGGTAATCACAATAATAACAGGAAGACTCTTAAATTCTGGAGGTAGATTTGTCTACCGTTAGCAACCATTCTGACACCTGTACAGACAGAATCAATAATTCCCAGATGTTACCAAATGATTTTAACAAATTGAAGGCCGCACCTAAATTTCTCACTTCTACCTGTTTTTTTACAGGATCCAATTTAGTAATGAAATGAAATGAATGGAGTTTTACGCCCTACTTTTCTGCACCTTGTGGGCTAATGAAGACGGACAACGCCATGCAGTGTGCGATGAGGGACCGGGACAGTAGCATTAGCCTGCTCTTTTTCGATTTCCAACTGTCGAGGGATCTTTAACGTGCACAGCCTGTAGCACACAGGACCTCGGTTTATTGTCCCATCTGAACAACTAGACGCTTTTTCTCTCGTATGATTTAAAATGTTTCAATATTTAAATTTGTATGGAATTTGAAACAATGACACATTTTCTATGTAGACTCTCCAACAATGTTGCCAAGTTGACAAGTTGACAAACCCAATTGCATACTGGCATCAGGTGTGCTTATCAAAGCGATACAATATTTGATTTGGAAATAAAATTGAAAATAACATCTTGAAAAAAATCAAATTATATAACAATCTTGCGGTGTAGACCCCCCAAAACTTTTGCCAAGTTGACAAACCCAACTGCATATTGGCATCAGGTGTGCTGAGCAAGTGACACAATATTTAATCATAAATCCCATCTAATAGTATAGAATTTTTTAAAAAAAATAGGACACATTTGCTGAGTGAACTCTCCAAAAATGATGCCAAGTTGACAAACCCAATTGCATAGGCATCAGGTGTGCTTAGCAAAGCGACACAATATTTGATTTGGAAACAAAAGAATAAAAATTTTAATACAATAAAATTATTGAAAGAAAACAACGTCTTCACGCAAATCTATTGATTTATTTTTCACAGCTATTTTTAGCAACATTCACTGCTGAATGACATAGTTTAAATATGGCCGATCAATTATTTTCTGCGGAGCTAGAATTGATGTAGAGGTTGTTAACAGTCTTAGTGTCAATATTTGCCTTTTGTGTTACTAGAAACGAGCTAAAAGGACAGAAAATGGTTTCCGCTATGAAATCGGAATATGATTCCAAAACCACTGAATAAATTAACAGCAATACAGATTCTTTAAGACAGTTTTTTCTCCTGCAAGGAAAAGAGTTTGGAATATCTCAAAATATATTAGTAAATGAAAAATTAAATATAGATCCAATGAACCTAGAACCGAAAATAGTTTCTTTTTTGGAAGATTAAGAATCATCAAATGATTTCCTTAAAAATGGATTGATTAATATGTGGTTAATTTTTGGATCTTATCTACCAGTTGGTCTTTGGCATTGATCTTTCCTGGATAATCTGTTCTCATTTACAGCTGGGTTGACTGGAATCATAAGGATCCTTTCTACCAGCTGGTCCTTGACCAAACCTCTTGGTATTGATCTTTCCTGAATTATCTGTACCCATTTACAGCTGGGTTGACTGGAATAATGAGGATTTTTTCTACCAGCTGGTCCTTGACCAAACCTCTTGGTATTGATCTTTCCTGAATTATCTGTACCCATTTACAGCTGGGTTGACTAGAATTATGAGGATCCTTTCTACCATCTGGTCCTTGACCAAACCTCTTGGTATTGATCTTTCCTGAATTATCTGTACCCATTTACAGCTGGGTTGACTGGAATAATGAGGATCCTTTCTACCAGCTGGTCCTTGACCAAACCTCTTGGTATTGATCTTTCCTGGATTATCTGTACCCATTTACAGCTGGGTTGACTGGAATAATGAGGATCCTTTCTACCAGCTGGTCCTTGACCAAACCTCTTGGTATTGATCTTTCCTGGATTATCTGTACCCATTTACAGCTGGGTTGACTGGAATAATAATAATCTTAAGATCACCAGAATTTTACACACCAACAGAGATAAGAACCTCTGACCACCATTTAGGCCTACTTGCTGATTCCAAGGACCTAACTGACTCCGTTCTAAGAGTAAATCCTATCAAAGGTATTTTGGGAAACCAACCTGCTGGAAACAGACATTAACTTCCAACAAACCAACCAACCAAGGGGTTTTGCAGTGGAGATACAAGGACCACAAATTCGTTTATGTCCCAAATAGTACCACCACCTCATTTCTTAAAAGAGAATATCCCCTCAGTCTCAATCTGGACTGTTGTTCCCAATCAGTCAGTCTACCACCCCATATGTACCCCCGGTCTCAGGTGGTGGAGTTACAAGGACCACAAATTGGTTTGTATCCCAAATAGTACCACCACCTCATTTCTTAAAATGTAGTACCCCCTCAGAGGCATTGTGAATCTCAATCTGGACTGCTGTCCCCAATCTGTTAGTCTACCACTCCATATGTACCCCTGGTCTCGGGAGGCTGGCTTACCCTCTGTCTTTAAGGTAGTAATAAAATCTTGAATTAGGTCAAGTGCTTCCTGGTATCAGAAGATGAATGTGTAACTGAACTTGGTTAATGATACAATCTGTAGAAGCCATTAGCCCTGGTTATTCATTAGGCTTCAAAGAAAGTTCACCTTACTGGTTTATTTTCAACCTGGGTGAACACCAGCCAGATGGTGAAATACCAACTTTTAAATTCTTCTGGTGTTTGACTGGGTTGTCCAGGTCAGGATGGTGTACCTGAACTTGTGGGAAGGTTCTAGTTAGAGGGTAACTTCAAATCCAATCCAAAGCTCATCATATATTTAAAGGGACAGATGCGCCATTTTAGGAGGTTGATTTTAATCTTGAATATATATAATTCAGAAGTACTTGAAGTGCACGAACATCACATAATTCCTTTAAAAATATCTCAAACTAGGAATTTTACTCACTATTTCTATAGATGTCTTTTCTATATATCACAGTGTCTCTCTTGTTTCTGAAACTAAAGTACGATGGTAAAAAAAAATGACGCACCTGTCCCTTCAAAATATTCAACAAATATGGCTATTTCAAACACCAAATTGGTTCGAAGGTCCTTGTAAATTTGCAATAAAGTTAAGAATGCTTCAGCTTGTATTTGTGGATGAAGACATTGATTGGCAGTCAACTGGACAAAGACTGGTGGTATTGACTTTCAGATATGTCAATATTAGCTCTGGTGCTTGACAAACTATCAGACCCACTACACAATTAATGGTTCTTTCTCCAAACTTTCTGTTTGCCCTGACTCAGTGGATTTCAACCATCTTCAACTCAGGGTTGGATGCAAAGGTTCCTGCTGAACCCAGGGTCCGTGGACAACCCAGGGTTTGATGTCAATACCATCTCTGGTGCTTGACAAACTATCAGACCCACTACACAATTAATGGTTCTTTCTCCAAACTTTCTGTTTGCCTTGACTCAGTGGATTTCAACCATCTTCAACTCAGGGTTGGATGCAAAGGTTCCTGCTGAACCCAGTGTCCGTGGACAACCCAGGGTTTGATGTCAATACCATCTCTGGTGCTTGACAAACTACCAAGACCCTCTACACAATCAATGGTTCTTTCTCCAAACTTTCTGTTTGCCTTGAGTCAGTGGATTTCAACCATCTTCAACTCAGGGTTGGATGCAAAGGTTCCTGCTGAACCCAGGGTCTGTGGACAACTCAGGGTTGGATGCAAAGGTTCCTGCTGAACCCAGCGTCCCTGGACACATTATTCTTCAAATGTACTTGAATTGTGTAAAAAGAAATTTGTGCAAAACTAATCAGGAACACCTAATGTCTCTCTGTGATTTGGTTTGTCAACTTGAGTACTTTTCAGATATATTACTTGCGCCTCAAGTCTGGCTACGGGCCTGCAAAAATGGCTGTTTAGGATCTCAAATTCCATCATTGTACTCGAAGCGTATAAATACCAATTATATATTAAGCAAAACTGATCATAATTCGTCAGAAATTGGCGGGAAATTATCAGAAATAATAAATAGATGCCACCCTAGACTTAAGATAAATAAATCACCAAATGTAGAGGTCAGGGGTCAACCTATCTGATTGGAAGAACATATTTTCTACATCTAGCGCCGGCTTATCCTCGAAATCTAGAAC